ATGTGCTCAACTTTTTGGCTCAGCTCTGGTACTCTCTTCGGTCCCCAGCTAATCGATTCACCCCTCGAAACATAGGAAAAACCAATAACCCCTCATTTTATCTGTCAAACTTTCATAGCGAATCAAAACAAACATTGCGTAGTACTAGAATTTCGACTAGAATGGGATACGTTAATCGTTTGCTTGGGACCAATAGGCTAGTCAAGTAGTGTGCCAATTTAAAATCGTTAGTTTCGTATTGATTGTTGGTAATACTCGCTGCTAATGATGTAAAGCACTACGAAAACAGTGAAGACTTCTGCAGTACGATGATGAGAAAAAGCGAAACGACAGAAGAAAATTAAAACAATGCCTACGGCAATTACAATCGTACTCTAATATGCCCAGGGAAGTCGGGAAATTTTCTAACCCGAAAAATTCCTAGACCGGACCGGGATTCGAACCCAGCCACCTCCTGCATGCGTACATAAAAAAATTCATGTAAATTTAGGTGCTCTGAGACTGACATATACGAGAGTCCATTTTTTACATAAAATTTAGTCATAATATACGCAAAATTCAGCTCAATCAAACGTACTTTTCGTCGAGTAACGAACTTTTCAGTCTAGGAGCACTTAGTTTTACATGACGTGTTTGTTTGCGTCTCATCCTTTATGTCAAAGATGGATTTCGTCACGTGTAAAATTAGGTATTTCTAAGTGTGTGGTCTTGCTTTGTAGCTACGCCTTTACCGACGTAGCTAAGGGAGGACCCACTCACGCTTAATTGCTAGAAACCCGATTGATTATGGTTTTGAAGATTTCCTGCAAAAAGGTGGAGAGCGATGCGAGTAGATGGAAACAGAATTGAGATTTAGATGTGTCACACCCCTCTGTTTTTTCACCGAATCATTTTACACGGGTAGAAAAAAGTACTCAAAATTAAGTTCTTTTCACTCATCTCGGCACTATAGTGCCGGAACCCAAAAGTAGGTAAAGCGGGTCAAATTAATTTTCATTTACTTGTGTGCAGTTCGTATGAAATTTTCCACTGACTTTTTAATCAAAAGTAAGTTAGTTGTACCCAACAGTAGGTAAATATGATTATACTCAACGTTGGGTTCCCACACTTTACTACCCCTGTTGGGTGATTTTGCTCCTCCGTTTTTGACAACATTAAAAGGAGAAAAGGAGACACTAGTCAAAAGTAGAGTCGGTGTATAGTGAGTCACGCCGAGAGTGAAGCCAAGTCTACCTATTGAACTGTCAAACTGGCTACCTATCGTGCAAAGTAAACAAGCATTACGATGCTATGAAAGGTCCACGAAAGGTATTGCAATTAAATATTAAATATAACCGAAGAAATTATCATATACACGCATTGTGCATTACATTTGTCATGCGATACGTTTTGTAATGATCAGTAATGACAATTTCTACTATTTTTCCTTAAGATAATTCCACAAAATCACTGATATTATGATATACTACAGCCGCTACTTTTTTTCCTCGCTAGAAGTCATTTGAAGTTGATGCAGAAGTCCTCTGTTGCCAAGTTAAAAGAAAGGGAATCTTTCGAAAACCGTGATGCGAGCTCAACTGTTTTTCTCTTGGCGTGACTCATTATACACCGACTCTAGTCAAAAGTAGGTAAAAGTGAACATTCCGTTGGGTACTTTTTTCTTACCGTGTAAAGCTGAAGGTTTAAATTCTCGCCTAACTTTTCAATAGGTCCTAAGTAACAAATGTAAACAAATCGAGTTTATAAATGCACATTGTAGCATTTGTACCTAAGAACATTATGCACACACACACATGCAGATTAATGTCAATTGAATTGAGAAAATTCTAAATTAACAAAACGTCTGAAGTCAAAATTTGCATTAACGAAGTTTCACTGTTACATAAGACGTTTGACTTTGTTCATCAAGACAAACGTCTGAAGTATCAGAAAAACCAAAACAATGCAGATCTGAACTTCGGTCCTTTGTGTTTATACGAGTAAAACGTCTAAAATGTTCAAACAAACCAAAACAATGTGATTGTGCTCATCTGAATTTTCATGTCAAGCATTTTTCTACTATTTCTGCGTTGGCGGTGGGGTGGGAGATGGGGTGGTTGACAATTATCCACGGCCCATACAAATTTTTAAATTTTTATATGGACAATTGTCTACGCATGGGGAGGGGGGGGGTCAAGCATACCAAAAAGTTGTCTACGAAGTGAACAGCCCCTAAATAACACTGTTATCAAATAAAAAGCAGCTCACGCGACCACCAACGATCGACCAAAACAATCTGTGGGCAGTGTTGCGATATACCGTTAAAAAAAGTTGATGCATTGTCCAATACTCATATTGTTCTTTTAACTCGTATAACTTAAATTATGCACTCATAATGCTTAAAAACAAACAAATAATGTTGAAAACATAAATGACCTATGTAACTGTGATTATAACAAAACGTCCTATATAACATGTCCAATGTACACCTGACAAGAGCAAAATGTCCTATGTAACATTTTTCACGTTTTCATAGAAAAAAAATGTATGAAACGGGTAGATTTTAATTTCAATTTCAATTTTACTATCGCATTTTACTATTAAAGGTCTTAAAAATGTCAAAAGTCGATTTGGTTTAAAATAGTATCAAAAAAGATTTTGTCAATCTTCAACCTCGTTTTTCTCGAAAAGAGTGAAATGTTAGATAGGACCTTTTGAAAAGTTAGGCGAGAATTCATTCTTTTTTCTGCACCTTTTTTGGGCTGCCAATATTTTGTATTCATGTACACTGTCTGTTTGCACACTGTGGTTTAATGTAAATAAGTTGATTGATGCCAACGCAGATAACCATGCAATATGAGTACGATCGACGCATACCTTACCTATGTGTCGTGTCGGTCGCCCGTTTGTTGAATCAAAGGCCAACGCCTGCAGCAACCGAATGAATTAAAATTAATGTGTTGACATTTTGCAGTTTATTGTTTTCTTCGTTGTTGCTGTACAAGCGTTGAACGGCATAACGGGTGATCGACGACGTGCTCAATAAAATGCGAGCGTGAGAGAAGTTCCGATGTGTACGGATTTATTTTGCCCATGGTGGAAGGTACTTCCGATTATGACGTAGGTTAGGTACTATTTTGAAGCTGGCAACGGCACCTGACACATGATGGTTTGTTGAACCTTAGGGAGGTATCACTCACAGCTGTCGCGCTATACATTCCGGTTGAATTCAACGTGTCATCGGTTGTGACATTCCGTTTCTATGGTTTTGATTTCTATGAGATTATACGTTTGGTCTTCATCACTGCGAATATGCGGCTGGTTGGTTTTAGGACTTACATCTTATTTTAGGCCTACTAAGCACAACCCGCAGTTTACGAGTAGCTCTGCCCGCGAAAATTCCATTTAATTAATCATTTTGTTCGACCATGTTCCACAGATGGCGCTGTTCCGCTGGTAGGAAGTGATAAAAATCCCCATACAGAAATTGAGAGAAGTGGGAATAATTCGCTTTCGGTGCATATTCACGTCAAAAAAGTGAACGACAACCTAAAGAAATTAGTCAGGGGCTTTCTCGTTCAGTTTTTTTTTCCCGGAAATTAATGCTAAACAAGCTACAATTAAATAAAAATGATTTTTCCCCATACAATTTTACCTGCTTTACTACCAGTCCTCAGAGAGAAATTTTTTAGAATATAATGTGCCATTCGATAAAGGAAGTTTGTTCTATCAGATGCTGGTGTTAGATTCCGTGGAAGTGGTTTGATTCGCGAGAAATTTGCGTTTAAATCCATTGTTTATCCGAGTCTATAGCCTCGGGGTCTAAAAGTTACCGGTTGCTGTTTCCCTAAACAAGCAGATGTTTTTTTTTATTACCGCGGCAAAATAAGTGACGGTAGTGACCTGGGAGATCTAAATTGATTTCAGCTAGCTTTTCAGTTTCTTACTAGTCACAAAAGCGTCGTTCTTAAGTGTCCATTGTTTGCTGTATCAACGACTAATTATAAAACGGCAACAAGAAACGTCCAAAAATTACTAGCATTATCAGCGCTCCATTTTTGCCACTACAATAAAAATAATGGCACCCATTGTTTTCGGGACGTAGGTTACAATTCCACTCCCACGACGCCATAGTCTATCAAGAGTAAGTTGAAGTCTCCTCTAGCGACGATCATACCCAGCGACCGCCAGGGAAGCAATGTAATCGAATGACATTGTTTCGGTTCTTCATTGTCTCATCGGGCGCGATGTTAAACCTAACGTTTTGATGTGAACAACCAGTTTAACGACCTACCGTGGTTGGATCCTACGTCAGCGGACTTCGAGTTTTACATTAATAATTTAAAACTCTTCCACGAACAGAAATAAATGACGTAAAACTTCGTTCGTTGAAGCGTGTCGACTTTTTTGGAATTTGAGCGCTGCTGCAGAGGCGTCACTCTGCACAGTGAATATCAAAAAAGTGCTTATAGTTAACAACTTTCGATTTTATATACGCTCGTACGTCATTGAAGATAGACGTGAAGCCGGTTCCGTTTCAGAGGTGGCTCATAGCCTTGCATTTCTGCATAATCAATTTTTTTTGGCATTATTCAGTCTTTTATTGAGTTGGTTCATAAAAGGTTCCCCTTAAGGAAGATTGAAATAACATTTACGTCACGCATAACAAAATCAATTGATTCTAAAACAATGTTTCTTATTAAATTTTCTATCAAAGTAGCCTTGACGTTCAGCGTTAGAATATATTATTCTTTGTAAACATAAAGAGTACAAGCCAAATCCAAAAAGTAATAATGAACTCCGATCTGTATATCGATCAAATTACCGCTAATCATTGCCATACCAGTAAAAATCGAACAACCAATCTAGCGATTCGCTATCACAAAGCCAATCAATCATAATTTGACTTATCTCATTGCCGACCTATAACAATGCGAAGTAATCCACAGTCACAATACATTTATAACCACCCGTCAATAGATGTAGTATGAAGGTGCAAAACCGGGAATACATTTACTTACGATTGCAAAAAAGCTGAGCAGCGACTTGTTGTTGGGCGCTCCTTGATCGACCAGGTACTCGGTGGCTGTTCTATCGGCTTCGATGTTCTGTATGGGGTAAAAAATAAATACAAAAGAATTAAAAAAACTAGAATTAGCAAAGCCGTTCTTCCAGATTGTTGTGAATTCAATAAGGAAATCTGTTCGGAACGGTTTTCTGCATGGATTGCTACACACATGTTACTTTGATGGGTTCGGGACACAAAGCAAAGACGTTTGACGGCTTGCTCGGATGCTCGCATTTAGAGTAGGGGCATGTTTTTTTTTTCCAAATCAAGCGAAACTTACCACTTCAAAGCAGGACGATAGCAGAGCCATGTCACCCAGGTTCGGCTGGAAATCGTGACGCTTCTTAAGCTCCAAGCCGGTCGATACAAGCAGTCCTCTCCAGAGGCAGGCAGGCAGGCAGGCTGTTTAGCGGATAAAGAACCTGAGAGCACTGCGCCACCAGTGACGAAGGCCACTAGAGTCGAATCGCGGCAAAACGTTCGAACGTACTCAGACAGTATGACGTTTCGCCACAGGGTTCACGTGAATGGCGACGAGTGGCACGAAATGTCTATGTGTTTACTATAATACCAACGTTACAGGGGAATCCCGCGTAGTGGGAAATTGTGAATTTGGGTTTTTAAATTTTGATGCTGGACCAGCAATCCAAGCTTGTGTCGGAATCACTAGGAAACTATGTTTTAAACATGCAAGGAATGGTCACCAGCGAGACTTAAAGTAGTAATTTGATCGCGTTTTAGTTAGCAAACAATCATTAGATCTATAAATCCACCTAGTTTGATCTACATTCTACCTCGGGAAAACCGCCCTTTTCGAACACGAACACGTGTTTGCTGTTGCAAACACATTCGAAAAAACATTGGAGAAAGATGTCCCAAAGTCATGCATACATATAGGTAGACGTTCGGTTTCTCTTCCGCTCGAATGTGTAAGTGAGGCGTTCCCAAGCCTTTCGGTGCTTCGAACTGGTATCTCCATCTAATCGAGTGTGTTGTTTGGGAATTCCACCAGACCGTCTGCAGACAGTCTGTATAACAGTTAAGACTGATTTGCTAGGAGTATTCCAGCAGCTGCCGGGAAAATCCATACTAAGTAATTCATTACTAATTTGAAGCCGATAATTTTGCCCGAAGCAGATGGGAAGTTTCTTCGATAAATGGCGGAAATCTAGCTGATCGGTTTCAATAGCAATATTGCATACCTTCTAAAATTTCATATGAGAATGGATTCAAATCAATAATTTTATATTTTTTTAGTTTTTTAGATTAAGCAAACAATAAATTTCATATAAGTCTACCAAAACCTTCATTGATTATTGATTACTTTACTAAACGATAAAGAAGCGGGATCACGTGGCCACTGGCCATGAATATACGTCGGAGAAGGACGTACCATAACCCAATTACTTAGCCCAAGCTGAGGGGTCGTCCACAAATTACGTAAGAGAATGGAGGGGAGAGGAGGTTTCACCAACTAATTGACAACATGCGTGCAATCAAGTTTTTCCAAAATACATATTTTTGTATAAAACCGAGATGATTTTCTAGAAGCAGTACTTATGGGAAAACAAACTTTAATCGAAAAATAATTTTGCATTAAAATTACAAATTTATTTAAAAAGCTTTCCGACGAGCACATTACAGAACCTGTTCCAGAAACATTAAAAATTGTACATGCTTTTCATGCAAATCTATAATAGAATCTTACATTTCCCGGTTGGGTGTAAGATTTATTAGTAAGAAGAAAATAATTTGATTTGCACTGTTTTCACGACAAAAATCCTAAACATACATTAAATAAACAATTGACAAAGTATTAAATTTTTATCTAAAAATGTTCCCATCGCGATATACTACGATTATCTGAAAATTTTAATATCTCTTACGAAGATTTAAGGGGGTAAGGTGGATTAACTTCATTATTCATTAACACTGTCTTACCGTTTTACACACGAGGGTGGGATTCTAATAATCACTCGAAAAATTCTTACATAATTTGTGAAAGACCCCTAATCCCAAACTCTATTTCCTCATTTAAAGATCAATACACTTTATACGACTATCGTTCCATTCCCGTTCATTCACTAATAACTAAACTCGCATAACAAAAAATCCAGACATCAAACTGTCTGACCCATTATGGTTCAATGTCTGATTTGATGGACTAGGAATCGTTTGTAGCTGTTTGTATTAGTAGTTATGCAGCGTCATTTTCATCATGATCATCATCATCATCACCAGCAACAGCAGGAACAACAAAAAAGTGTTTTCTGCTGTGCGATTGAAATCTTTGTTCGTGGTCTATAAAAGGTGTCAAGCTGTAATCATCCTATGTCAGCTGAATTAGCGTTCACGGGCACGATCGATTGGATCGGGAAGTGTTCCGCGTTGTCCCTAAAAATGGTTGGAGGTTGTTGTTTTACTGTGGGAGATGTAGGCGGAGGAATGAGTCCTCCTTCTTGTTTAGTGTTCCAATTAGGATTGAAGTGGCATGGTTAATATCCATGCCGGGATTGTTTTTGGCTGATGGTAGATTTGTATGTCGTATGGCTTCATTAACTATTTATGTTCGTAGTTTTGGGCTTAGGTTTGAACTGCAAATCATTCAAATGTCAATCGAGAAAAAACTAATTCTGTGAAAGCGGGATATAGCATAATTTACCGAAGCTGAATGGACAAGAATAGATAAACATTTAAGGGGCCATAGAGTATGATTGTACTTGCCACACAATTATAATAATGCAAATAAAAGGTACAGACATCGAAAGCTCTCAATTATAACTGTGGAAGTGCATCTAGAACACTAAGTTGACAGCACGCAATAAAGTAATATGCGATAAACAATAAGCTTTAAATGCGGAGAATAAGAAGAAGAAGAGAAACATTTAAATTAATCTACGCAGTCCTTACGAAAAACGTATTCAAATGATAAAATATACAAAGGTCTGGTTGTTATGAAAAACAATACCACTTGCAGTTAAATACATACGCCAACAAAATCCCAAATCCCACTAATTTATACCAGGATGTATCAACGTTTTTGCCTGATTTTTCGACATTTTTTGTAATGATACTGAAAAATTAAAACATTATTATAAAACAGCAAAAAAGGGCTATCTTCCATTTAATATCACTTAAATACTTTTGGTATCCATAACAGATACGTATTTCGACTAAATACTTATCAAAAACCTAACCCCCTTAAGTATTCATCCCCTAGGTAAACATATCAAGATCACAGGTTTAAAAATGAAACTACAATGTGTAGAATCGGAACCTACCTAACTAATAATAACCAAAGGTTTTAGTAAAGTAAAGGAGAAAAATCTATTCAAACCTCTAAAAAGGAAAAAAAATCCCAAATCCAACCCTCTCACCCCACTTGCTTTTGATAAAAAAACACGTCTACTGAGGATTTATATTTTCAAAAAAATCATATATCAATCAAACAGTCATCGGTCGTCATTGAATAGCAATCCAACTATGTTCTGTCAATCTAATTGAAACTTTTATTGGCTCTGTTGCCTTGTGAATTTTAGCTATAACGGCCTCTTTTCTGATTTTTATCTCTCAATCTATGGAATCTACTCGAAAACTATGTTTGGACGAAATTTTTAGAACAGTATAAGGAACATTATTCCGTAGACTACACATTTTTATATCATATGGGTGGAACGCTCACAGAACAAATACTTTAAAATTCTTCATTTTTTAAGATATCTTCAATAAAATCACTTTGAATCGTCAACCTTTAGCGACAAAGTTGGTAGATAACACATTAAGCTTTGCTATGAAAGTTGTTACAGCAGTTTTCGTTATTTCAGTCTCGAGATACAAATAATATAAGCCGTAAATTACCCTAAAACATTAAATTAACTCGAAGCACCTCTAAATCATCACCGATTTTGCAGAAAATTTGCACAGAAGTTTAAATTAACATGAAGAACAGTAATCACAAAACACTTGGTGTCATTGTCCTTGTCTTCTTCTGATGTTTACTTTTGACTCCTTTGTTATCATGCTTCCAGCTGATTATGTTTACCTAACAATAACCAGCTGGTTAATTCGTTTGCGTGCAAAAACGTCAAGGAAAAGCTGAAATGGTAAGAGTCCCGAAAGTCACTGAACATTTTGGCAGCTTCCACATTTCGTTAGGAAAGTCTAAAAAATATTCATGGAAATCGCAATATAAAAAAAAAATCCTAAGGCTTTTGCAAATCAGATCGGTGCACTGTTCTATTAACGTAAGATTACGTCTTTCGGCAACAAATTGGGGGTGTACCAAAATCGACCGCGTTACGAAAAAAGGTCAGGTTTTAACCACTTATAACTCTGTCAATAGCGGATGGATTTTAATTCTTAACAAAACCAATCGATTGGTAACTTTTCTACGAAGCTGCTAAAATGAATACTTTATCTATTTTTATTAGGTCACTATTGAAAATTACACAAATGTCCAACTGTTGCAATGGTGGTCAAAATTATCACCGATTGCCTGCAAATAGTGGTTTCCCTAACATAGTCGCCAAAAATTGATACCGAGCACGTAATCCTACGTCAAATCTACGGTCGAGTCTTGGATACAACCTCTTACTTTTTTTTAACTAAAGAGACTTTCAACCAACGGCTGGTTCACCTCTATTCGGCCGTTTTAGATTTTCGAGCAAAAATTAAAATTAAATTTTATGTCGCCTCGTCGGTGTCATTAGTTCACGCAATGTTTTGTTTTTTTGACGTAGGACTACGTCTTTGATTTCTATATGGGGGTACACTTTGTGAAAACCGAAAATGGAACATGTAACAAATTAAGAAAGATTTTGAACGTTAATAACTCAGCTGCCCCTGGTCCAATTTCAATAATTTTATCATAAATCGATCAGAAATATGGCTACGCATCGATAACAATGCATTCCGAATGTTGATTTTCAACAAGAAACTATTGAAAAACTGGTAAATGTCCAGCATTGTCCAAAAGCGTCGAATTAACTAACAAATCCACCAATTACCTACATGCATATGCTGCTTCCCCAGCACAGTCGT